GTCAACCGATTGAAGAAAGATTATATGAGAGTAATTGGTGAGCTAATTTTATTTTTAACACTGTTTTCTATTATTATTCTATTACAAATTATAAGAATTGGTGAGTTAATTTAACAACGCAATAATGGCTATTTTAAGAATTACAATACAATGTCGTTTGAGATTTTATTTACCAAAAAATATATGAGGAGTCAGACATATACGCCATCCAATTTTCAAAAACTAGATTTTATGAATTTTCCATGGAAGTTTTAGACCGTCTTTGGACAGTCCATGCAATGGCTATCTATATATATAATATCACACTTTTCTCTCTTCTTAGAGTGTCCACCTAAGCAAAAATATAATTTTACAATTAATGTTATTTTAAATTTCCATTTAATTCATTTATATTTATATCTATTGTTACTTATAACAATTTAAAATTTCAATTAAATAAATTAAAAATGAGTAAATAAGTGACTAAAAGTAGTAGATACAAGATTATTTAGGGGTTTTTTGAAAAATACCATACTTAAGTTTATAATTTTGAAAAATACCCTAATTCTAAAGTTTTTTTAAAACTGACTCTTTAATAATGTGATAAGACTTTTTAATCCCCATTTGAATTTAAAACTCTTTTAAAGCCCATGTTGGATCTCTTTACTTAAATCGTTTGGTCGAAGAATATTTTTTAAAAAATTTCACCATTAAGGCATTAACACAATATTAATAATTACATGTAAATAACAACAAAAATAATTTGAAATAATTTGTTTTTTTATATAGTTTAGACTTTTATAAATAAACCTATATAAATTAAAAACTTATGTTTTAACAAAACTAAACAAAATTAAAAGGAATCATATATGTTAACCGGTCACCATTGTTACTGCTACTATAGAGTTGACATCGCTTTGTTAAAAGAAAGTGGCAGAGTCGATTGTTTTGTCTGACCATGTCTCTATATATTTTTGTCATAATTTAATTGTTAATATCGTATCACCTTCTGATATGGCTAACTTTGTTTAGAATAAAGAGTGAGATACAAAATTTTATTTTATTTATCGAATTAAGTTTTTATCGAAAAGGTAAAGTAGAAAGTTTTGTACACTTATTAAGCTACGCTAAACTATTTTCATTCCATCATAATGCATGTTTGACCATCACATGATCTTTATATATGTAGTGGATTTTTTAAAATATTTCACATATATGTATAAGATGAGTTTTTCAATTTGATTGGTTCAGTTTGTTTTAAGATATGTGAGATTTTAATTTGTTTAATTTATAAGAATATTATATGTATTTTTAAAATAATTATTTAAGATAGTAAGAACAAAGATTTTAATCTTTGTTAAAAAAACCTCTTGGTCAATTTAAAAACGTTTTTGTATTTTAAATATAAATTTTCTCTATGTATTGGATATTTTAGTAAATTTGTATTTCAAAAAGTGTATTTTTCAAAAAAAAAATCAAAAGAGGGTATATCTCAAATTTGTAAACTTAAATAGGGTATTTTTCCAACTTTCCTCGATTATTTATGTATTTAAAATTGTCAATACAAATTAAAACAATTAATATATTTCTTTTCTATTATATTTCATTTTAGAGTAATAAAAAATTATGAGATTATAATAATGAGAAATGTTTACATATTTAATTTCAAAAGTTTGGAAAAATGTAAAATGGATATCAGTATAATAGCAAAAATGTTTACATATCAATCAATTATATGACTAGGGAGTTTTCTCTCCAACTAGGGTGTCCACCTAAGCAAAATATTTCTTTTTAACAATAAATTTATTTTAATGCTCAAATTAATTCATGTTTGTATATTAATTGTTACTGACAACTACTAAAAGTTTATTAAATTAAAAACGAAAATAAGTAAATAAATGATTAAAAGTGCTACATACAAGAATATTTGAGTATTTTATTGTTGTAAATATTAAATTATAACAAAAACTATATGAAATTTTTTTAAAAATGCCACTTTTCAAGTGACACTTTACAAAAATACCACATTTTTACAATCTTTACAAAAATGCTACTTTTGAAAAATTATTTATTGATTATATCATTTATGTTTGGGTTAACTATGTTGTATTAGGATTTAGTTTTGAAGGTTTAAGGGGCTTTAGGGGTCAAAAGATTTTTTAAGGTTTAGAATTTTAAGATTTAGACTCTAAAAAATCATAATT